TTCATTTTCCGACAGTTCTCTTCGACTTTCGTCGCAAGGAAGAGAGTGGTAGCCGCAATTTGCTGGAGGACAATCAGTTGTGATCGAAGATACCGGTATCAGAAGCACGTACATAGTGATGTAAAGGCTTATAACCCGGACTGACTTTCAGCGAATTGCGCATCAAGTACCGGTTGAAGAAGACAGCGGCCGTGCTGAGCGTGGTTTGCGGGAGCTTCAACATGATTCCGACCTGAAATATGAAGTTGACACCCTTCTTGCGCAATGTGCGCTCTTCTTGCGGGGACATTCCATCAACGATGGAAGGCGCCAATAACAGCTCTTCTTCAGAGAATATCCATTGCAATTCTTCGGCAGCGACGGCGGGTGGAGGAGGACGAGGGCGCTCTCTCACTACTTCTCGGGACATGTTTGAGGGTGCGACGACGGAGACCATGGAAGAGCGGCGATGAAGAGCCGATATGGATTAGAGGTCGCAAGAAGTATGGGAAGGCCGAGCCAGCTCGGTTCGGATAGGATGGGCAGTCGAAGTACTGTAACCAAGCTGGCTGAGCAAGCGGAAAGACGGGCGGAAGAGAAGCGTTGCGCGCGGTGTGGAGTAGCCTTGCAGGCCGTGGTGAGTGAATGGTGATGATGAAGTTGGGCCGGCGAACAGGGTAGAGGTCTGCCAAGGAATTGTCAACCGGTCCGTTGGAACCTTGCAGGCACGTCACTTCCAGCTGCTCCCCATTTCTTACCACTCGTTTCTTGACCTACTAGAAGCGCATTGGAATCATTGCCTACCCTGAGACCTCTATTTGTGACAGGCGGGTTTTTCCATAACTTTTTCACGACTAGAAGACACTTGCAAATCTGGAAGACGAATGTATTTCGAAGGAGAGCTTTTGTTTGTATATACACATCAAAGCACCAATGCATGACCGGATATGGAACCAAGGATGGAATGAGGCCACACGCTCTCATCATCATCAATGAAGGACAGGGGAAAGGCAATGATGCCGATCTTGCCTATTGCTGGCACCGGTGGGGAAAGAGAGAAATGAGGACTGCAAATACCCAAAGCCATCTGCGAGAAAAAAGAAAGTCCGTGTAGGAGAAACTGCTCAGTTCAAGCCACGCAGTATCGGATTCTGATCGAAGGCTAAGATGCTGTGGATACCAAGGCGTTCTGCAAGGCTCCTTCGTCGCTTGCATCACCATCACTGATAGCAGTCTTATGCTCGTGAAGGTATTCAATGACCTCATCATTCAAGTCTGGGTGCCGCTGGAGCGTTTCAAGGAGTGTAATAATGTAGTTCGGGCGATTGCCGTATGTCGTGAAATTGTGCGCAATGCGTGTTGCGACCAAATGGCGCATGGCAGTGTCCGCGGTAACCATGAGATCTGCCTCAGGCTCCTCTTCCTCCTCGTAAGCAGCGTTGTCAGCGAACGCCGGTTCTTTGTAGACAGTGTCTGCTAACAAGAGCGTCTGTAGAGCAGTCCAGGATGGGATCGCTGCCAACTCTCTAACGATGGCTGCCATCATTGCGCCCGTGTCTAGCGACAGCAGGACAGCGATACTCCATGCTTCAGCAAGCACCTTCATCAAAGCCGCTGTCCTTTGATCTGGGGTAGCATTCGTAGGTAGGCGACTGTCGTAGCAGTTGAAGTTCCCGGGCGCCAGGAAGTGGGCGGCAGCTTCGAACTCATCCGGCTTGATATGTTTGAGTCGTGGAATGTCGAGCCGCCACCCGGTTCGCGGAAAAGGGGTAAGCTGCCCCCTCCCCTTAAAGTGTGCCTCGTCGATTGAGGTTCGCGGGATATAGAAGCGTCTGCAATCCGGGCCGACAGTCAAGCGCACGGTGTCGTCATCGAGTCTATGGTCAATGTCAGCTTTGACAAAGAAGACGCAGAGGAGACCATCCAAACCTGGGGTCCTCAATTTCATCAGCCGCCGGCTGTGCGGCAACCCCATCGAGCTCAGCTTCCGCCATGCCTTCGTCTACCATTATTTCATCTTCGTGAGTGACACCCGCTTCTGTAACCGTTTGGGAAGAGACGGAAAGGTCATCTCGCGTCGCTTCACTCTGCGAGGATCTGACTGAGACGCAGGACTCTTGTGAAGGTGGCCCCTGGGCCGCTTTGCGTTGTTTCAATCGGGTTCTCTGAGCCCGCCGTGACTCCTTGTCAATCTGGGCTTTCATCGCCTGATGCTGGCCAACTGAGTTTCTTGCCGCGACTTTTGCTTGTGGACGATCAAGTGCTTCTTCTGCGGCATCCGCATTGGCAGATGGGTCGTCTTTTACGCCGTATGCAGCGTTGATATCAACTTTCCAGACACTCGCACACAGTTTATCTGCGAAAGCATTTATAAGTTCAGCATACGCTTGCCGTAGCCCAGGATGTTTCCGCGCGAGTTCCTCGGGACACTGCATGTTGCCGATGGGAAGCAGCTGGGCAAATGAGGCCCATTCGCTGGGATCATCAGTGACATGATCTCGTGGAGGTCAGTTCCGCTCACATTTTGCGTTTCTGTAGCAGATATACAGCTACAGCGTTCATACTTGGACGGCCTTCGCGCACCTTCTTCGGGAGCATCCCTTCTGTGCACATGAACGCTGGCCAAGGTGGACGAATGGGGCCTTTTTGGTAGAGACAATAGCCGTCAGCGTCTGGCATGGTGCGAATTGTCTGTAGACTGGTATTTGATCGAATATTAGTGCTCTATATCTGGGGATATGAGGCTATGCAGTGGTTATGGACGAGGTGGCCAACAGGTGAGCGAAGTGTGACGGATTGGAAAGGTGCTTAGATGGCTAAGGCAGGATAGAGAGGCTTCTAAAATGGGGCAATATCCAAGAAAGAAGTGATGATCAGTTGGAAGGAAAGCAAGAAGAGAGAGTGGAGAGGTCAAGGTCAAGACAGAAGTGATGGTCAGACTGAAGGAGAGCAATAAGAGAGGGTAGAGGTCAGGGTCAAGAGAAGTGATAATGAAATTGAAGAAGAGCAGGAAGGAAGTGTGGAGAGATGCGTCGAAGGTTGAAGAGCTGGGGGTGAAGGTGTCCAAGAAAATTCAGTTGGTCGGCTTCAAGCGTTAAGATATCTTGATCGACGCTGTTCAGTTGAGTGGGAATGAGAGAAGTAGAAGCATGAGAACTGGTTGCAGTGAAATATTTATAATATTTGGAGTCGTGAAGATGACAACGGTGTGCCAGAGGCGCCTAAAGGTGTGTTGGCCCATGTGAAGGGCCGCAACAGCGGTGAGCGGGTCATCGTCTTGCCAAGATTCTGGCTTGATTGGCATATCAACACTCGGAGAGGAGATGATATTGGAGGTGAGGACTGCGTAGGGCATGTGCTTGACTTCAATTGACGTTGCGGGACATGTACATGCATAGAGCGGCTCAGCTTAGTCACCAAGCGCAGGGGCATGCCGCCAATCAACACCATCGCGAACATCTGGCATCAAGCTCCAGCTAAGCTCCAAGCTCAACTTCAACATTCCGGCACGACGACCCCCGATTTCCAATCCCGGAGCTTCGAGTAGCGCACTTGCACGCCCTACGCCGAGATCCGCCCAAATACCTCCCTTCCACGGTCCCTCTCTCACCTCCACAATGCTCTCCCTCGGCGGCATGCAACCCCGGCAACTAGCCACACAACTCCTCAACTTCGCTCTGGTGCTCTCGACAGCATTCATGCTGTGGAAAGGTCTCTCAGTCGTCACCGACTCACCGTCACCCATCGTCGTCGTGCTTTCCGGATCCATGGAGCCTGCATTCCAGCGCGGCGATCTGTTATTTCTCTGGAATCGGGGCATGGATACAAAGATTGGGGAGATTGTCGTGTACAATGTGAAGGGCAAGGATATTCCGATCGTGCATCGGGTGGTGAGGAGGTTTGGAGGAGGGTGAGTTCGACGTCCTTCTCTAAGAGCGAGGACAATGCTGGAGGAGATGGACGTAGAGCAAGGCTGAGAGAATTGTGCTGACGATTCATACAGGGACTCGCCGCTCCGACTCCTGACCAAAGGTGATAATAACATGGCTGACGATACGGAGCTCTATGCACGCGGCCAGTCATACCTCAACCGGGCGGAAGACGTAATTGGTAGCGTAGTTGGCTTCATCCCGTATGTGGGCTATGTCACTATTCTACTCAGCGAGTACCCGTGGTTGAAGCAGGCAATGTTGGGTATAATGGGGTTGATGGTGGTGTTACAGAGAGAATAATCAAGCGGCTTCAATCAGAGCGTTATGCGGGAGCAGGAACCAATATCTACACAGAAGTATTCGGGTCTTAAAAAACGAGCAGATCAGCCTTATATTTGCTGCTTTCTCGTTGTTACGGCTGATCACTTCAGTCTCCGCGTCAAAAAGAGTGTCACTAGGAGCAGGGCGTTCCGGCGTATTGATTGGGCCTGAAACGGCGCCAGGTAGCATTGTTGTACGCACTATTGTTCTTGGGGACGGCATAGCCACGTCAAATTTATTTGTAGCCTTATGCAATTGGCAGACATTCCAAAAATCTTCTCCTTGACTCGAAGACGGGCGCTACCCGAACTTCAAACAAGCAACGCAGTACATACCCTCTGGTGTTGCGGAAAAAAGCCGGACTCACGCCGAATGTTTACCTAGGTCCTCCAAGGCTGATTGTGCAGCTCCTATATAACGTTTAATAGTTACCTAGAGGAGGGGGCCGAAAACTAAGAAAGAGGGTAAAAGAATTGTTTAACATGCTTTAAGAAGCCCGTAATCGTAGGGTGATCTAGCTTATATCCAGCTTTTTCTGCAACTTAACAGATACCATACAACCACGACAACTGGGCAAAAACAAAAGAAAGCTTACTCAATTTTACTTTCCTTCAATAATTGAACTTTAAGCTCATCTGTTATTTATTATCTATCTATCGCTCGAGACTCTTTCCCTCGCCCGGCGGCATACCCTCTTCCTTTCACTCCAACCCCCACTCACACCGCACCGCACCTCAGCCAAACGCACAAAAGGAAAGCAAAAAAGTCTGCACCTGGAGAGGTTCGAACTCCCGGTCCCCGCCTAACTTCCAGCCTAGCATTGCAGAGCCCGGGGGGCCTGCACGCCTAAGGCGTTGGGAAGGCGATGCCCTAACCACTGGGCTACAGGTGCTGTTTGTTTGATGATAGAGAACTGTAAGGCCATAATATATAATTGAGGTACAAAGAAGGGGAGGAGGTGAGGGGAAGGCCCAGTGTGGGGGCAACAGAGGCAAACGGAGCGGGAAAACGCAATCTGATGCCGTTTCCCGCTGCGGTGAGGCAGGGGCAGGAGCGGTAAAGGACAGCAGGCACAATGAACAGGCGAGCATGACGACAGTACTGCTAATTCACACGGACAGAGCTCAGTGCCTCCATCGATGGGATGGAGACCTGGGTGGAGACTAGGATGGACATAGGATGCAACATCACAGCCAGCACAGTCATGAGAGGGGCAGATAATCGCTTAAAGCATGTTTCGCTAGTGTACAGTTGATATCATGAGCCGAATAACATGATCCATATCCGGACGACGTGTTCTGGATAGAGGGCTAGCAGAGTTGCCCCCTCATACAGACTTCAGTCACCGGAAGACAAATCGTGACATGTGATAGCTCATTACCGGACATAAGGAAAATGGGGAACAGGGTTCCAGCACTCGAAGCTTCCAGTTGCGCCATTTGCCTCCGATACTGGGCCTGCTTCTTTGCTGGGTATCGAAGAAGCAGTAATCAAGACAGTGCAGTTGTGCAGCTCATAGCTGAGTTACTCAGACTCCTCCTCCTCGTCCTCAGCGGAGGCCTGGGAGGATTAGTCGTCGATTCAAACAGACGAAAACGGGTAAACTCACTGCTGCGTAGGCGGCCTTCTCCTCCTCATAGCGCTTCTTGTCGGCAGCGGCCTTTGCGTCATATGGCGCCCGTTGCTTCTCGTTCAAGGCCTTCCACTTCTCACCGAGCTGCTTGCCGACCTCGCCTGTGCATGTTAGGAATACTGCGGGATACGAGCTGTTGGAAACTTACCGAACTTGATGCCGGGGTTGTCCTCGCGGACCTTGTCACGCTGCTCATTGGCGAAGAACATGTATGCAGAGAGTGCGCGCTTGGGAGCGTTGGGGTCTGCGGAGTCAGTACGAGCTTGATGCAAAAGGCAGCCAACATACCCTTCTTCTTCTTGCCAGAGTCGGCCTTGGAGGCCCTGGACTTGCGGGTCTTGGTCTCGGTCTTAGGCATGTTGATTGAAAGTCTATCTCGTTAGCATTGCTGTCCATGTAGTGCAGTGGAAGGCAGCGATGCACTGCGCGAGCCAGCGAGCAGCCAGCACGCGCTAAGACGTAAAAGCAGCTTGACCGATCAACAATGCAACATCAGGAAGTGCCTGCTGGGCATTGTGGCCTTCAATTGCAAAGGCGACAGGGCGCGCAGCAGCTCACAGAGCGCGCCCACGTTCGCCAGTCGCAAAACACCAGAACGGATCGCGAAGAGCGCGAAACGGAAGAAGTTGGAAGAGACACTCACACTAAAACAGGCAGTTGAGTGAAAAAGCTGATTGTAGTAGGGTCTGCGACTGGTATCAGTATGTGGACTGTATGATGGCCATGGACGACGGCGGCGCAACAAGAAAACAAGACGCGACCAGGCGCATCATGATGAAATGTGCGGAAGCGGACGTGACGATGGAGGAAAAAACAGCAGGAACGCGGTGGAAAAAGGTGCAGGCGCAAGCGTGGACGCAGGCGCAGTATGGCGATGCTAGTAGGAAGCGAGGAAAACGTACCAAAAGCTGCTGGGACGTGGTTGTGTATGGAGACGTTTGGCAGACACTGGAGGTTGCGGGCTGCAGAGAGAGAGAGGAGTGCGGCGGGCAGGCTCCCATACAAATTGGCGGGCACCGCTCTGACCCCAACAGCGCGCACGTGACGTCGCTTTGTTACCACCAAGCTTAGGCGCAGAGCCCGGCACCAAACAGAGCAGCCCCTCACACACACACCCAAGCTTGCCTGCCAGCCGTTCACCCCCAACCGCGCCTTCATTATTCACTGACCGCGCCTTCGAGGCCCCCTGCAGCCTTCGGACCATCGCTTCCTGCTCCCTCCAGTCCTCACCGGTGTTGCTGTCCTGCGCTGTTCGTTCGTTGTATGTGCGCTTGTGCGTGCAGCGGCCCCTCTTTGTCACCCACCGTCCCGCCCGCACGCACACATTCCTCGCTGCTGCGGGTTTCATGTTGCCCGTTATATTAGTGCACAGCGAGGGAGCCGTGCCATTCGCCCTGGCGCGCAATCTGCTGCTCTCCTGCTTTGCCGGGCGGCTGGCTGACGGCGCCGTGCACGCGTTTGCAAGCAGCTGGAGTCGTCTGCAAGGCCATCACTGACCTAACAGCTGCGAACTCGGCGATTCATGGGCATTGGGCCCGCTGCCTATCTAAAAATGCGTCATTATCCGCTTGTTGCTTCCAAGGCCATTCCCATCGTGCACTCCAGTTGCGGCGCTTTCTAGTGGTACCTTGGTTCGCAAGCGGAAACTTCGACGTCATGCCGCTGCGCCGCTCTCCCGTCCAGCAGAGACAATTGTGTGTGTAGCAACGTAGAAAACTTCCAGACTTTGGCAGCGTCTGCTTCCGTTGCAAGGGCAGGCGACGCAAGATGCATTGGAGTCCCTCACCTAACATCTGCTCTTACCATCCAAGGGCTTTATGCTCACCCTGCGGGTGCGCCCGGTCCAGACCACCTGATATCAGCAGCCTTGGCTTCACATCAACATCAAGCTCCACCCCAAGCTTCTTCATCCCATCCTCATACCAAACACCATATAGCCTTCGATCTCGCACCTGCACTTGGTTGTAGCGGCATCTCGAGTGCTTCAGCTCAGCCCAGAGTATCATTCAGCTTCTCCCGTCTTGAAGAGTGGCCTGATATCCCCCTCAAGCCATATCCTCCTTACTCCACCATGTCATTTGGATTCCCCACTGGTCTCAAGAGCTTTGTGCTGGTCCGCATTGGCCGTTCAGTCGTCGTCTTCATCGTCCATGACGAGTTCTCGCAGGTCTCCGTCCTCAGCCCAGTTGATCCCGCTCCCAACAATCATTGCCGACATGAGCCCCTTCAGGTTGTGCATTCGCCGCCGGGATTCTGCGGCCTCCTTTTCAGCGGCCTTGACACTATCGCGTAGTTGCTGATCCTGTAGGTCTTCTGCGGACTGGACGTTAAGACCCTTTGACAGGGCGAGAAGGGTCTTGGACAAGGCACGGTTTCTCTCGTTTGCAGTGAGGTTCTCTAATTCCGCAGCACTCAGTGCTTTCTTCAAACCCAGGAGCTTTGACGTGAGAGTTTCATGAAGCATCGAAACGACGTCGTTCTCAGTGATAAGCGGGAGCATTCGTCTAGAAATCGTGAGCACCGACCTCCTGTATAGACATAGGGTGTCCAACTTTTCAGCGTGGTCAGTATGCTCACCTCCATGTACCGCTTTCAGCACTGGGTCCATTGCAAGCACGTTGCGTGTGATCCGGTGGCGCAACTCGTACTCCACTCGCGCTTGGATTGTCTCGCGCTCGAGGAGAGTCAGCTGCTCCTCCACCTCTTGATCGGACAGTTTCGAAACATCAGGCATATCGGTTGCTAGCAGTCATAAGTTGGGTTCAAATACTGGTCGCCTATTCGACCTACACTCTCGTAGACTTCTCTCTAGCTCAAGATCACGAAGTTGATCGTAAAGACGTAGTGCGGCTTGCTCACGTTCCGAAAACGCGAACGCGTCGTTGTGGTTCGTTTGGAGGAGATCTGCATAGCTCGGAGCTTGCTGTTGGCTGCTTCTTGCCAGCCGTTCCCCAAGAGCGGCCATTCCAATAGAAAGCGAGAGGAAAGTGTTTGGCTCCTGACACGATAATCTCCGTTCGCCTGACAGTAAAATCGTCCGAAGTATGTAAGGCTCTGCGGGTGATGCAGGTTCATGTGCTCAAACTGGTGCTCACCGGGCCGTGCACTAACCCCCGGTCGCGTGGTTCTTGGCGATATCCACCGTGATCATCCATCAACGTCCGCTCTCACAGCTACCTCCTCCTTCCTATACCTAACGCAGCAAATTATGCTGGCTCCCAAAGGGTGCCCCGGATGTCTCTGCAGGTCGCAGTAGCTCATACCGGCCAGCGCCTCGACGCTGATCGTGTGGGCTTCAACTCCATTGATGCCTTGAAGCAGTGGATATCAAGCGCGACACAGATTCCCGCTGACTCGCAGATACTTCTTACAACCCGCGGAAAGCATGTTAAATTGCAAGCATTATTGACTGAGGTAGGGAGCAAGCTCATGACTCGAAAGACATAGCTAAAAAAGCCATGACAGCCGGAGATATTTGTTTACAATCGCGACTATTCGAACGACATCCAGTCTGCCACTTCACCCGAACCTCTCCCCGATCGCTTCGTGCCTGATGACCCCCCTGACACACTTTCCAGCCATACGGATCTGCGAGCATGGCAGAATCTATTCCAGGCGCGGCGGGACTGGGCCTTTGCTATCCTCGAGCAGGCCAAGACGATGTCCCGGATGGCAGCGGACCGGTTCTTAGAGCAATCAACTATTGACAAAGGGACACAGATTGCTGTAGGAAATCATGATAGCCATATCCGCAACCTTGAAGGCATATACCAGGCCGCAAAGGAGTGGTGGGATACTGTGTTCAAGGAGACGGGGGACAATCTTCGAAAGCTCGACGCCGACTGGGGCCAGCTTGACCGGATATCCGCAAGAGCAGAGTTTCTGAATTTCTTTGCGAAAGACGTACGATCTAGGCAACTGGCGCAAGGCGGCCCTCGCAGTCCGGGAAACAGAGATGTGTCACTACAAGAGTTTATTGATGCCGAAGCTTTGAGGAAAGCTGCTGGCGTAGGCAAGCGTGTCAGGGATTCATTTTCAAGGCGCGTAGCAGACATGGGTACAGAGCTGGAAAAGGTTGCTGCTGAATACGGTGAGCTATTGAGCGCTGTCGACCAGAGCCAAAGTCGATCGATCGCCGACGACTCCGAGGAGCCCGGAAAACTCTATTCGGAAATCCGGGCGGTTGCAGAGAAAGTGGACTCGGATTTCAAGCATGTCATGGGGCTTCAGGCGACGCAAAAGTCGGTTGCGCAGGTTTC